AATCCGTTGAAATCGAATCGAATGTGATGGGCATGCTTTCCACCACCACCACCACCACCACCACCACCACAAGTTGGAGGGGGAGGGGGTCCTCCTCCTCCACCTCCTCCACCTCCTCCTCCTCCTCCCTCTCTTCTCCTCCTCCTCCTCCTCCTCCTCCTCCTCCTCCTCCTCCTCCTCCTCCTCCTCCACCTCCTCCTCCTCCTCCGTCCTCCTTCTCCTCCTCCTCCTCCTCCTCCCCCCCTCCAGCTGATGGTGCTGGTGGTGGCGGAAAGCAGGCCCCTCAGCATGGAGCCGGAGGAGCCGACAGGAGCCGCGCCCTCGCCCGTGGCACACCTCGCCCACACCCCGAGAAAATCAGGAGGGGAAAAAACACATAGACACAATTAATCGGCGATTCCGAGAAAATATGGGAAAATATGGGAAGTGGGGGGGAAGACAGAAACCCAGAAAATATGGGAAAATATGGGGCTGCGCCGCCGCCGCCGAGAAAAGACGCCCCCCCGCGGGGCGTCGGCGCCGGCGCGCCGCAGAGGCCGAGGTGCGCAGAAAACATCTATACACCACCACCGTGCCAGGCCTCCTCCTCCTCCTCCTCCTCCTCCTCCTCCTCCTCCTCCTCCTTCTCCTCCTCCTGGGCCATCCTGGGCCCTGGGATGGTGTATACGCCATCCTGGCCGAGGCCAGGAGGGTCTATGCCACCCTCCTGGGGCCCAGGATGGCCCCGGCCTGGCACGGTGGTGGTGTATAGAGATGCCTTCGCTGGACGAGGGCGCCTCCGCGGTGCGGGCCCCCGCGCGGCGGCGCCATGGCTCCGGAGGGGGGGGGGGGGGCCAGTCTGCGAGGGGGTCGCCGCGCGCGAGGGCCTGCCCGAGGGCCTGCGGCGGGCGGGGGCCGACGGGGAGGAGGCGGAGGAGGGGGGGAGGGGGATCGGGGGGCCGGCGGGGGGGATCGAGGGAGCGAGGGGGAGGGGGGGGTCGAGGGATCGAGGGGGGGAAGCGAAGGATCGAGGGGGCGAGGGCGAGTTCGGGGGGGAGGAGTGGGGGGGATCGAGGGGCCGATGAGGGGGAGGAAGAGAGGTCCTCGGGGCATTCCGTCGGGGGCAAAATCCTGGAGACCTCGCGCGGCAACTTGAGACCCGACTTACGTCGGATCCACGTCGGGTTCACGTCGGGCTACGTCGGGATTACGTCGGATTGATGTCGGATTGACGTCGGACTGAAGCCGGAGCATCGCCGCGCGAGCGTCGACCCTTAGCTTACGGAACTGACGTGTGGACTGGAAAAAAAAAAACTATTACGCGCCGCGCGAGGCCTCCTGGATTTTCGACATACAGTCGGGGCGTTGACCTAAGGAACCCCAAATAAGGAACGAGGCCCCCTTCTCCCATAAGTTGAACTTCGACTTCCCATGGAAGACCTCAGGAAAACAGGAGGCAAACCGAAGAACAATCAAGGAACAGCGAGCCCCTCCCCAACGAAAAGGGTTCCTTCTTCAGGGCCCCGACTGTGATTTGGGCGCCCGAGTTATCCGGGGTAACTCGGGTCCGGGGTAACTCGGGCTTGGATTCCCGAAAAACGAACCCGAGTTATCCCTGACCCGAGTTACCACTGATGATTCGGGGCTCTGGGCGCCCGAGTTATCCGGGGTAACTCGGGTCCGGGGTAACTCGGGTTTGGATTCCCGAAAAACGAACCCGAGTTATCCCTGACCCGAGTTACCCCTGATGATTCTGACAGCCATTCTGAGGAGCAATTTCTGACAGCCACAAGCCGCCGGGAACCTCCCCGGGGAAACACCGCCGAAGCCGCACCGCGCGGGGCTCGGTCGGCCACCCCACGCCGCTCCCCGACGACCCCGGCGGTCCCTCCCGACGACCGCGACAGCTCCCCCCGACTTCCATCGCCCTGGCAGGCGTCGCCGCCGTAGGGTAATGCGGGATGACGATTAATACAAAAAACGGGAGAGAACGATGAAAAACATGGTTTTCTGCTATTTCTGCACCATGTTCTGACTGGAGGAGAACGATTGAAAAACAGCCTTCCGGCCCGCGGCCGGTTCTTTCGCATCGTCATCCCGGGCGCCGCCGCGTGAACACGACCCCCGGTCATTTATGAATCGTCGTCCTCCATGAACCCCGCCGCGGGCTTGAGCAGGGACCGACCACCCCGGCACCCCTTCAGGACAACGCATCGCCCATGACACAACCAGTGTTCTTATAACTGAAGGGGCCCCAGGACACACAAATAAATACACACAAATCAAAAGATTCCCCATATTTTCGCATATTTTCTGGGTTTTTGTCTTCCCCCCCACTTCCCATATTTTCCCATATTTTCTGGGGAATCGACGATTAATTGTGTCTGTGTGTTTTTTCCCCTCCTGACAATAGCAACTCGCGCAGACCACGAACGCCAATCAGAATATTCTTCGGTGGGCCTACCGGCAGGCCACGACTCTCGCCGCCCCTGCTTGACGGGCGGCTCTGCCCTGCCGGCCCCTGGGCCCGCCCGCCTGCAAAAGAGACGACCGACTCTCGCCATCGCTCGGGCGCCCACTCCCCGGGCCCTCCTTCGCAGGATGCCGACAGATGCTCCGCGATGGTCCTCGCCGAAGCAAGCTGCGCACGTCCGACCGGTGCCACACGCCGAAGGGCTCTCTCCCCAACAGGCCGGCTGCAGCTGCCGAGCGTCGGCATGCGCGTCCGCGGTGTTCGAATGTGTTCGAATGTGTGTGTGTGTGTGTGTGTGTGTGCGTGTGTGCGTGTGTGCGTGTGTGCGTGTGTGTGTGTGTGTGTGTGTGTGTGCGTGTCTGCTCTTCTACCAGCCAAGTGAACATAATGCAGCCGGCAGGGAAGAGAGGACACGACCGGGAGGAGCGCAGCGCAGCAAGGCCGCCCCGCCGTGCAAGGCAGGCGGGGGAGACGCCGGAAGGCCTCCTCCCACAGCTCACCCGACCCCCCCGAGCGCGGGCCGCACGCCGCAGGCGGGGCCCGCCGCCACCTGGGTGCGCCGACCCTCCTGGCCCTTTGGCCTGGGCATCGCTCGGACGTCACTAAAGGGAAATTAGGACACACAAATAAATACACACAAATAAACATAGTCCCCATATTTTCCCATATTTTCTGGGTTTCTGTCTTCCCCCCCACTGCCATATTTTCCCATATGTTCTGGGGAATCGAGGATTAATTGTGTCTGTGTGTTTCTTCCCCTCCTGAGTCACGTTCCCCATGCATGTGTGGGTCTCGCGCGTCCTTTCTGCTGCCAGGCGACCGGGAACAAGCGCACGCGTGCGAGCGATGCCAAGCGGCGGGGAGGAGGAGGGGTCGGGGGAAGCGAGGGGGAGAGGTGGGAGAGGATCGAGGAGAAAGAGGAAGCAGGGATCGGGAGCCGAAGGAGAGAGCACGCCCGGCCAGCGTTTTTGTCCAGCGTGGCTGCCCTGGTCGGTAGAGTCACGCCGGCTGCGCGCGACCCCTGTGTCTGAAGGGCCCGCTGGCTTGTCCTGGGGGGGGTGCGAGCAATGCGCTTGCTGCTGGAATGGCCACCTCCTCCCTCTCCTCCTCCCCCCCCCCCCTCTCCACGACCTCCTCCTCCTCCTCCTCCTCATCCTCCTCCTCCTTCCCATCCTCCTTTTCCTCCTTCCCTGCTTCCCCCACCCCGCACTCCCTTCGTTTCCCAACCTGCCGCCCCCTGCGCAAAGCCCCCCCGTCGTCGTCCTCGTCATCGTCGTAATCGTCGTCGTCGTCGTGGTCGTCGCCGGCGCAGCCACCGCAGCGGCCGTCGCCGTCGCCGTCGCCGTCGCCATCCCCGTCCTCGCGGTCGTCGCCGTCGTCGTCGCCGGTGCAGTCGCTGTTGCCGTCGCAGTCGCCGTCGCCATCGCCGTCGTCGTCGCCGTCGCCGTCGCCGCCGCCCTCGCCGTCGCAGTCGTCGCGCCGTCGTCGTCGTCGTCGTCGTCGTCGTCGTCGTCGTCGTCGTCGTCGTCGTCGTCGCCGTCGCCGTCGCCGTCGCCCTCGCCGTCGCCGTCGCCGTCGCCGTCGCCGTCGCCGCCGACGCCGACGCCGACGCCGTCGCCGACGCCGTGGCTGTGGCCGCCACCGTTGCCGTCGCCGCCGCCGCCGGCCGTCGTCCTCGCCCTCGCAGTTGTCCTCGTCGTGGTCGTCGTCGTGGTCGTGGTCGTCGTCGTCGTCGTCGTCACCGTCGCCGTCGCCGTCGCCGTCGCCGTCGCCGCCGTCGACGTCGTCGTCGTCGTCGTCGTCGTCGTCGTCTCCGCTGTCGCCGTCGTCGTCGTCGACCCCGTGGACGTCGCCGTCGTCGTCGTCGCCGTCGTCGTCGCCGCCGCCGCCGCCGCAGCAGTTGCCGTCACCGTCGTCCTTGTCGTCGTCGTCGCTGTGGCAGCCGTCGCTGTCGCCGCTGCCGTCGTCGTCGCCATCGCCGTGGCCGTCGCCGTCACCGGCGCTGTCAATGCCGTCGTCGTCGCCGTCCCCGCCGCAGCCTCCGGTAGCGTCGCCGTCAACGTCGAAATCGTCGCCGTCGTCGTCGTCGTCGTCATCGTCGTCGTCGTCGCCTCGGCCATCTGCGTGGCCGCCGTCGCTATCTTCGTCGTCGTCGTCGTGATCGTCGTCGCCGCCGCCGTCGCCGCCGTCGTCGTCGTCGTCGTCGTCGTCGTCGACGCCGTCGCTGTCGTCGTCGTCGTCGTCGAAGTCATCGTCGTCGTTGTCGCCGTCGCCGTCGACAACGACGTCGCCATCGCCGTCGTCGTCGCCGTCGCCATCGCTGTCACCTTCGCATTCGCCGCCGCCTTCGCCGTCGCCGTCGCCGTGGCAGTCACCGTCGTTTCGCCGCCGTCATCGCCGTTGTCGTCGTTGTCGTCGCCGTCGTCGTCGTTGTCGTCGTCGCCGCCGCCGCCGTCGCCGTCGCAATCGTCGTCGTCGTCGTCGACGCCGCCGTCGCCGTCGCAGCCGTCGTCACCGTCATCGTCGCAGTCGCCGTCGTCGCCGTCGCCGTCGCCGACGTCGACGTCGTCGTCGTCGTCGTGGCCGTCGCCGTTGCAGTCGTCGTCGCCGTCTCCATCGCAATCGCCCTCGTCGTCACCGTCGCCGTCGCCGTCGCCGTCGTCGTCGTGGTGGTGGTCGTCGCCGTCGTCGTTGTCGTCGTCGCAACGCCGTCGCCGTCGCCGTCGCCGTCGACGTGTCGATGTCGCTGTCGCCGGTGTCGTCGTCGTTGTCGGTCGTCGTCGTCATCGTTGTCGCCGTCGCCATCGCCGTCGTCGTCGCCGTCGCCGTCGCCGACGACGCCGCCGTCGCCGTCACCGTCGCCGCCACCGCCACCGCCGCCGACGCCGTTGCTGTCGCCGACACCGTGGTTGTCGTCGTCGTCGTCGTGGTCGTCGCCGCCGTTGCCGCCGCCGCCGCCGCCGTCGTCGTCGTCGTCGTCGTCGTCTTCGTCGTTGCAGTCGCCGTCAAGGCCGTCGTCGCGTCGTCGCCGTCGTCGTCGTCGCAATCGCCGTCGCCGTCGCCGTCGTCGCCGTCGTCGTCGCTGTCGCAATCGTCGTCGTCGTCGTCGTCGTCGCCGTCGCCGTCGCCGTCGCCAGCCTCGGCCGCCGCCACTGTTGCCGTCGCCGTCGCCCCCGTCGTCGTCGTGGCTTTCGTCGTCGTCGTCGCCGCCGCCGTCGCCGTTGCTATCGCCGCCGTCGTCGTCGCCTCCGCTGCCGGTGCCGCCGCCGTCGCCGACGTCGTCATTGTCGTTGTCATCGTGGTCATTGTCGTCGTCGGCCTCGTCGCCGCCGCCGCCGCGGCCACCGCCGCCGTCGCTGTCGCCAGCGCTGCCGCTGTCGTCGTCGTCATCGTCGTCGTCGTCGTCGTGATCGTCTCCGCCGCCACCGCCGCCGCCGTTGCCGTCGCCGTTGCCGCCGTCGTCGCAGTCGCCGTCGCAACCGTCGTCGACGTCGTCGTCGCCATCGTCGTCGACGTCGCCGTCGCCGCCGCCACCACCGTCGCCGTCACCGTTGCTGTCGTTGTCGTCGTTGCCGTCGCCGTCGTCGTCGTTGTCGCCGTCGTCGCCGTCGCCGTCGACATCACCGTCGCCGTCGCCGTCGCCATCGCCGTCGTCGTCGCCGTCGCCGCCGCCGCCGCCGCAGTCGCCGTCGCCGCCGACACCGCAGTCGTCGTCGCAGTCGTCGTCGTCGTCGTCGCCGTCGTCGTCGTCGTCGCCGTTCTCGTCGCCGCCGCCTCCGCCGCCGCCGCCGCCGCCGTCGTCGTCGTCGCCGTCACCGTCGCCGTCGCAGTCGTCGTCGTCGTCGTCGTCATCGTCATCGCCATCGCCGTCATCGTCGCCGTCGCAGTGACCATCGCCGTCGTCGTCGCCGTCGCCGTCGCCGTCGCTGTCGCCGCCGCCGCCGTCGTCGCCGTCGCCGTCGCACTCGTCGTCGCCGTCGTCGTCATCGTCGTCGTTGTCGTCGTCGTCGCCGCCGCCGCCGTCTCAGTGGTCGTCGTCGTGGTCGTCGTCGCCATCTTCGTCGTCGTCGCCATCGCCGTCGTGGTCGCCGTCGTCGTCGCAGTCGACGTCGCGGTCGGCGTCGCCGCCGCCGCAGCCGTCGTCGCCGACTCCGTCGCCGCCGTCGTTGCAGTCGTCGACGTCGTCGTCATCGTCATCGCCGTCGTCGTCGGCGTCGTCGGCGATGACACCGACGCGGCCGCCGCCGCCGTCGTCCTCGCCGTCGTCGGCACCGCCGTCGTCGACGAAATCGTCGTCTCCGCCACAGCGGCCGCAGTCGCCGCCGCCGCCGCCGTCGCCGTAGCCGCCGTCGTCGTCGTCGCCGTCGTCGTAGTCGTCGTCGTCGCCGCAGTCGCCGTCGCCGTCGCCGTCACCGTCGCCGTCGTCGTCGTCACCGTCGCCGTCACCGTCACCGTCGACGTGGTCGTCGTCGCCGTCGTCGTCGTCGCCGTCGCCGTTGCCGTCACCGTCGCCGTCGTCGTCGTCGTCGTCGTCGCCTTCGCCGTCGTCGTCGCCGTCGTCGTCGTAGCCGTCGACGTCTCGTCGTCGTCGCCGTCGCCGCCGTCGCCGTCGCAAGCGTCGTCGTCGACGTCGTCGTCGTCGTCGTCATCGGGCTTTTCCAGAACATCCACGTCGCCGTCGTCCTCGCCGTCGGCGTCGCCGTTGTGGTCGTAGTCGTCGGCATTGTCGTCGTCGTCCCCGCCGCTGCCGCCGCCGCCGCCACACTCGTCGTCGTCGTCGTCGTCGTCGTCGTCGTCGTCGTCGTCGTCCTCGTCGTCGCCGTCGCCGTCGTCGTCGGCGTCTCCGCCGCCGTCGTCCGTCGTGGTCGTGGTTGTCGTCGTTGTCGTCGTCGTCGTCGCCGTCGCCGGGCTCCTCCGGCGGCGCGCAGCAGGCCGCGGCCTCCGACAGCAGGGCGTCCACGCCGCCACGGGCCCCTGCGCCCCGCCCCCGCCCGGGGCCTCCCTGCGCGTGCGCCGGCGCCTGCGTGCGTCTCTGCCTCCTCTCGCTGCCGGAGAGGGCCTGTCCTCCTCCTTGCCCTCGTCCTCGTCGTCCTCGTCGTCCTCGTCGTCCTCGTCGTCCTCGTCGTCCTCGTCGTCCTCGTCGTCCTCCTCCTCCTCCTCCTCCTCGTCCTCCTCCTCCTCCTCCTCCTCCTCCTCCTCCCCTCCTCCCCGGGTAGTCGTCGTCGCCGTCGTCCTCCTCATGCGGAGGAGTGAGGAGGAGAATCAAGAATATGCTTGTGAACGCTCGGGGGCCCGTGTCCAAACGCATCCCTTGTGGACGTTCTTCGCCCCGCGGTCTCGTCGCTGCCAGAAAGGGGCCCTTTCGGGCCCCAGAGGGGGGCCTCCAGGGCCCAGGAAGGGTTCGATACACGGGCACCCCCGGAGGCGAGCGAGGGGGGGACGCGCAAGCTCGGTGCGCCAGCGGCAAATCTGACATCCGACCCCTCCTCCTCCTCCTCCCCTCCTCCCCCTCCTCCCCGGGTAGTCGTCGTCGCCGTCGTCCTCCTCATGCGGAGGAGTGAGGAGGATAATCCAGAATATGCTTGTAAACGTTCGGGGGCCCGTGTCCATACTTATCCTTTGTGAACGTTCTTCGCCCCCCAGTCTCGTCGCTGCCGGAAAAGGGCCTTTTCGGGCCCCAAACTGGGATGACCGTGGGGGTTCCTAAGTGGATAGGGGGGTTACAAGTGGATGCCAAGGTGGGTTATATCTGGCCCAACCTGGCTTATAAGTGGGTTACGCGTGCCCTAAGTAGCTTGGGAGGGGTCGATAACTCGGCTAAGTGGGCGGAGCCCACCTAGCCCAGATCGTTAACCCCCCTAAGCTACTTAGGGCACTTGTAACCCACTTATAAGCCAGGTTGGGCCAGATATAACCCACCTTGGCATCCACTTGTAACCCCCCGATCCACTTAGGAACCCCCACGGCCATCCCAGAAGGGGGGCCTTCAGGGCCCAGATACACGGGCACCCTCGGAGGCGAGCGAAGGGGGGACGCGCAAGCTCGGTGCGCCAGCGACACATCTGACATCCGACCCCTCCCTCCCCTCCCTTGCCATGGCGCAGATCTCCTTCCGATTAGCTGCACCATCGGACATGAACCGGCGTTGCAGCGGGAGCACTTCTCAGAAGGCGGCGGGGCTTCTCAGAAACACTCGCGCATTCTGAGGGTTCTTTTGATTGGCGTCTTCGGGGAGGGCTTACGTAGAGAACTTCTCTCGGCGGTGGACACAACTCCCTTTAGTAAACCACCCTTTGGTGAAAACGGCCTAAGACCAAAACCGACGAGAGAGCGTGATCCACCGCCGTTTTACTGTGGAAAATTCCTCTCTGGGGCTCGCCCCCCCCTCCAAAAATCCCCCCCCCCTCTGCCGACCCCCCCTCCCTCCTGGCAAAACCCACCCTCCCCCTAACCCCTCCTCCTCCGGAAAACCGGAGGGGGGTCACTACGGGTTCGACCCCCCCCCCCTCCGGAAAACCGGAGTGGTCACTACCGGTTCGGATGCCCCCCCCCCTCTCGAAAACCAGATCGAGGGGGGCTCACCACCGGTTCGAACTCCCACCCCCCCTTCCCTTCCCGAAAACCAGGGGGGGTCACTACCAGTTCGAGCCCCCCCCCTTCCGAAAACCAGGGGGGGGTCACTACCGGTTCGAACCCCACCCCGTCCCAGAAAACCGGGCGGGGTCACTACTGGTTCGAGCCCCCCCCCGCCACGTACGCTCACCGCCAGCAAACGACTCCCCGGTCCCTACCACCGCCCGCACCACATCCCCCACTGCTATCCCCAGCACCACTGTCCTCACCACCACTGTCCCCGCTGTTCTTCCCACCGCCGTCCGCACTGTCCCCACCAGTGCCCCCACCACTGTCGCACCGTCCCCACTGTCCCCGCCACTGTTCCCACCACGGTTCCACTCTCCCCACTTTCTCCACGGCCCCAGCCACTGTCCCACTGTCCCCACTGTCCCACTGTCCCCGCCGCTGTCCCACTGAGCTGTCTCACTGTTCCCACCACTGCCCCAGCTGTCCCCACCACTGTCCACAATGTACCTCTGTCCCATTGTCCCACCGCCGTCTTCGCCACCGCCCTCACCACTGTCCCCACCACCACTGTACCCACCACTGTCCCACTGTTTCCACCACATTCCCACTGTCTCCACACCAGTGTCCCCACCTCTGCCCCACTGTCCACACTGTTCCCACCATTGTCCCCGCTGTCCCCACCAGTGCCCCCACCAGTGTCTCACTCTCCCCACTCTCCCCACCATTGTCCCACCACGGTCCCACTCTCCCCACTTCCACCACGGTCCCCACCATTGTCCCACTGTCCCCACTGTACCCACCACTGTCCCAGTCCCCGCCGCTGTCCCAGTGTGCTGTCCCACCGTCCCCACTGTCCCCATCACTGTCCCACTGTCCCCACTGTCCCCACCACTTTCCCCACTGCACGACTGTCCCACCACAGTCCTCACCACCGCCTACACCACTGTCCCCGCCACTACCGTCCCCACCACTGTCCTACTGTCCCCACCATTGTCCCGTTGTCCCCTCAGCACTGTCCCCACCACCACCGTCCCACCACTGTCCGCACCACTGTCCCACTGTCCCCGCACCACTGTCCCCACCACCACCGTTCCCACAAGTCCCAACATCTTCACCATTGTCCAACTGTCCCGAAGAGCGGGGATCGTTTGCCGGCGGCGAGGGGGGGGATTCGAACCGGTAGTGACCCCCCCTGGTTTTCGAGGGGGGGGTTCGAACCGGTGGAGACCCCTCCTGGTTTTCGAGGGGGGGGGGTTCGAACCGGTAGTGACCCCCCCCTCTTCTCTTGATGGACTGGGGAGGGGGGGGAGGGGTTCGAACCGGTAGTGTCCCCCCCCCGGTTTTCGAGGGGGGGACAGGTTGGGAACCCCCAGTGTTGAGTAGGGACCGACCGTCCTGGCATTCCTATAGTCATACCACGAAGTGTTCTTAGAATTAGAACCCCAAAAAGTTCGAATAGCAAAAACAATGTTCTTATAACATGAACCCGATGTGTTAAAACAAGACAATCTCAGTCAGAAATGTTCCAAGAACATTTCGTGGAAACCACAAAAGGTTCTTAGAACATTGTTTGGTAGGGCTATAGGCGAGCCAAGACGCTTCGTCACTGCTTGACAGTGACCCCCCCGGTTTTCCGCCAGCAGCGGTAGAGCACGCTCTTTGGACCTGGACCCGCAAAAATGACGGCCTCGACGCCCTCTCGCGAACCGCACACGGCCAGCTCGCTAATAATCCAACTGATATTCCATCAAAATTACCATCAATTGCACCAGCAAGTGTAATTAATAATCCAACAGGAACACCATCGAACTGAAAATAATAATAAAGATACAAGTGTTACTAAACAATGCATTAATGAGGAAATTGAACATCGAAGTGTCTCAGGGAAGGAGGTTTGTCAACCTCCGATTCCCAGAAGGCCAAAGGACCTCCGAGCCCTCCGAGAAGGCCCGCCCCTTCTCGCCTCCCGCCCGGGCTCGTCGCCGATGCTCCCCTCCTCTCCCCCCCCCGCGCGGCGAGCAAACACTGTGCGCGGACGCCTGCCGACGAGTGCTGCGGCGCGTGCCCTCAGGTGCGGGCAATGTCTTTATCCACATCCAGTGCGTCTTGGAGTTTCGGACACTCTTCCCAAGAAACATGAGGCGCACTGGATATGGATTATAATCTGCCTCCAAAAGGCTCAGTGTTTGTCCATATCCAGTGCGCCTCGGCCTTGCGGCGCCCCTTCCAAGAAAGTCCAAGACGCACTGGATATGGATATAAATATTGCCCGCACCAGGGAGGGTGCCCGTGTAAAAAAAACGCCGGCTCCCCAAGAGGTGAGGCCGAGGGGGAGAAGCCGCTGGGGGGTGTCCGTGCATGTCTTTGTTCCTGTAGGGAGCCCACAAACGACGTACGCGCCCAACTATGTACATGAACACGGCCCCTTGACCCGCGAGACCGGCCGCATGATACGAACATTCGCGCCATGCGAACTCTCGAAACCAGCGTGGATTCGTGTACGTGTACGTCCTTCTTTCGCCCCTGATCCTGGGCCTCCTCCTCTCCTCCCGTGCACTGCGGCCCCATTTGCATCCAACGCGCCCCAGCGAGGTCCGATCGCCGGCGCGGTAGCCTCTGCCCCGCCGCCGACGCAAAAGTCTGCACTTTTGTGGCGGACCTCCCGCCCGACAGACAGCACGACCTGAGTCGGGAAGGCCAGCACCATACGCCGGGCGCGCCCTGGCACGTCGCGCTGAACTACCACGCCTCGACTCGCCCGAAAGCGCTGCGGGGGAGCAGTTGGCTTTTGGACGCCCGAGACGGGTACGGAAAGAATGGGTACAATGCCCAACAGCGGTCCCTGTTCATTTTGAACCGGGCTCGCTGCCGCATTCGCCGCGGCCTGTGCACACTTGAGACAGGAGGCCGCCTGCCCAACAGCGGCCGCTGCTGGTTTGGGACAACATTTGTTGTTGGGCATTGTACCCATTTTTTCCGTACCCATTCCCAGACCCCCGACGTAATGATTTTTTCATTACGTCGACCCCCAGAGGTCCCGACCCTTTCCCCATGACCGGTTTTGCATCCTGAGTCGCTTTTTGACGCTCCCGAGGCCCGGCGAGGGCCCCCGGAGGCCGAAAATTAGGAAAAACCTGACGCGTCAAGATTTTTGTCATTACTCGAGGGGGTCTGGGTTTCGGGCGTCCAAATTGGTGGGGGCGGGGCTTTTGGCCCACTGCGTCCAAACTTTCGAAACCGTTCCAGCAGGCGGGACCGCCGGCGCTCTTCCGCCCCTGCCTCGCTCTGCGGGCCTGCGAGGGCCACGCGCAGGCTTCCGGCGGCCGCCGGGCCGCGATTACCGGGGGGGGGGAGCGAGGCGCTGGACCCAGACCCCCTCGAGTAATGAAAAAATCATGACGGGAGGTTTTTCCTAATTTTCGGCCTCCGGGGGCCCTCGCCGGGCCTCGGGAGCGTCAAAAAACGACTCAGGATGCAAAGCCGGTCATGGGGAAAGGGTCGGGACCTCTGGGGGTCGACGTAATGAAAGAATCATTACGTCGGGGGTCTGGGGAATCGGCGGTGCATCGCCGACAGATCGGCGACGGGCCCACGACGGCGACACTGCACAATCCTGGGCGGGGTAGGTACGAGTCGGGCCCGCCTCCCTGCAGGAGGGATACTCGACAGTAGTAAGAAATAGTTCGGGTACTATGTTCTGACACTTTGTTAAGCATTTGGAGAGTTTGTTTGTTTGTGTATATATATATACATACATACATACATGCATACATACATACATACATTTTGTTATGAGAAAAAGGAATTTAAGTTGTCGCACGAAATCCCCCTGTAGGGGGACAGGCCTGACCTAAGGGTAGGCTAACTTGTCAGGCCTGCAACTCTCGTCGACGAGTGGGCGGATGGGGGTCGACGCCTTCCCCCCGGAGCCTGTGACCCCGCAGCGTACCCCAGAGATCCGATCTGTCGTGATTTTTCCACTGCGGGGTCCCTAGAAGTCTCGACTTAATTCGGGCCTGTCCTCCTACAGGGAGATTAGGGGCGAAAAATAGAAAACAAAACATACCCTAAAACTGCTCCAGCATAGTCAAAAACAGTCCCCCGACTATTTTTGTTTTAATTAGTACTATTTGAAAATATTCCTGAGGGACAGGCCCGACTTAAATCTCCACCCATTCCCCCGGACCGGTTTTTCATCCCGAGTCGTGTTTTGACGGCCCCGAGACCCGGCGAGGGCCCCTGGGGGCCGAAATCTGCAAAAAAAGCCTCCGTCTAGATTTTCTCCAATGCGTTGGAGATCTCTGGAGTCTCCCCCGGCCTTGGCCCTTGCACACCGCGCCTCCCTGCTCCCCACCCCCCGCTCCTCCCTGCCCTTCTCGACCTCACCCTGGCTCGGTCCGCGCGGGCACGCGCGCGAGCACGCCCGCGCCCTGGTGCCTGTCATCGAGCACGCCGGGGGAAGGAGCGATTGGGGGGGAGGACGAGGCAAAAGGAAACGCCGCACTTTCAAGTCCAGGAGACTGTGGAGCATGCAGGTCTGCCCGTCGCCCACGTCGGAAAGGGAAAAGGGGTGCGCACCGCTAGGATTGTCAAAGGCTTCCCTATGCCCTTTCGCCCGTGCTCATCCACCAAGCCCCGATCTCCTCCACTCCCTGCAGAATCTCGAAATCCTGACTACCATCGTTGTTGCATGGGCCAGAACAACGACGAGAGACCCCAACATGCGCGCAGAATCACACACCGCTCCAGATGCAACGGTGTCGCTCCCCCCCCAGGGAATACCAAAAGGTATCGATGCGGCAATTCCCATATCGATACTTTGGACGCCCGAAATGGGTACGGAAAGAATGGGTACAATGCCCAACAACAAATGTTGTCCCAATCCAACAGCGGCCGCTGTTGGGCAGGCGGCCTTCTGTTTCGAGTGGACACAGGCCGCGGCGGCGTGGACAGCGAATCCTGTTCAAAATGAACAGGAACTGCTGTTAGGCATTGTACCCATTCTTTCCGTGCCCATTTCGGGCGTCCAGAGATACGGCTATTTCCAGGACCTGTCCCGGGGTGCGCCCGGAACAGAACTCCGAGGCGCGCCCGGCCAGCGGCGAGGGCCTCCCGTGACGCCCGAAAAGGCGAAGACGAGGCAAGGGCAGTGGTATCGGCACCTCTTCCTCCTTTGCCCCTCCCAGGGGGGGCCCACAAATATACGCCACCACCACCTCCCTCACCCTCTCCCTCTCCCAGGAGAGAGGAAAAGGAAGAGGAGGGCAGAGGAGAGAGGGGAGGGATCGACGTGGTGGTGTATTTTCTTGGGGTCCCCACCCCCGCCCCCTCCGAGGTGGCGGGCGAAGAAGCGGGTACCTTCTCCTCCTCTGCCCCTCCCGCCCCCTCCGAGGTGGCGGACGAAGAAGCGGAGATCCTTCGCGGCCGTGGCGCTCGGGCGGGCCTGGGGGTCCTGGCCGCCGCTGGCCGCAGCGGGTCGCGCTCTCGAGGTAGGGGCCCCCGACGGAGGAGGCTCCCAAAGAAGCGGGGAGCAGCGGGGGGAAGGGGCACGAAGGGCTCCTGCATCCGCTCGTCGCGCCGCGCGAGGCGCGAATCACTCGTGGCGCAGTCGCGACACCCCCCCCCCCCAGGGGGAGGAGAGGAGGAGGACGAGGGACGCAAAGGACGAAGGACGAACTAAAACGACGGACAATGCCCAGACCCGCGGAACGCGAATCACCCTCCGCGCCCTCGCGGGAGCCCCTGCATCATGCGGGCGGGAGGGGGGACGATTCCAAGGGGCTCTCCCAAACGGACAGGTCAGACATGGCCTGAGGACCTCTCAGCATTCGGCCGCATCGCCTCCTCCTCCTCCTCATCCTCCTCCTCCTCCTCCTCCTCCTCCTCCTCCCCCTCCTCCTCCTCCTCCTCCCCCTCCTCCCTCCTCCTCCTCCTCCTCCTCCTCCTCCTCCTCCTATTCCTCCTCCTCCTCCTCCTCCTCCTCCTCCTCCTCCTCCGCTGCGGCACGCGCGGTCCTCCACGAGGCCCCCCGCGGGGTGGCCCCCTGTCCCCCTGCAGCGCCCGGCACCCGCGGGGGGAGGGCGGCGGGCGACGAGCAGGGAGCACACGGGGTGGACGGCGGAACTCTCCCAGACCCCCTCGAGTCATGAAAAAATCACGGCGGGAGGTTTTTCTATGTTTTCGGCCTCTGGGGACCCTTACCGGCCCTCGGGGCCGTCAAAAAACGCCTCGGGGTGAAAAACCAAAAACCGGTCCCGGCGAATGGGTCCAGACCTCTGGGGGTCGCGTCATGACAAAATCATGACGTCGGGGGTCTGGGTTCTGGGAAATCTTGGCGAGAACGCCGCGCGGGGAGGGCAGGAGAGGGTGGGTAATTAGGCCAAGGGAGGAGGAGAGCTACGAGGAAGGAGCAGAGGGCCCAGAACCCCGACGTAATGATTTTTTCATTACGTCGACCCCCAGAGGTCCCGACCCTTTCCCCATGACCGGCTTTGCATCCTGAGTCGTTTTTTGACGCTCCCGACGCTCCCGAGGCCCGGCGAGGGCCCCCGGAGGCCGAAAATTAGGAAAAACCTCCCGTCATGATTTTTTCATTACTCGAGGGGGTCTGGGGGGGTTGGATGGCGGAAAGTTTCTGGAACGTCTCTCGGCAAGCGCGCCGTGCGGAAAGGGGAGGGGATGAGGAAGTGGCGAGGGGCGCGGGTCGGACCCCAGCGCCCGCAGTCCAGGGGAAGGGAAGACAGGGGGGGGGGATAGGCGCGACTCGGATCCCAGCGCCCTCAGTCCAGGGGAGGGGGGGGCAGAGGGGGAGAGGCGCGGCTCGGATCCCAGCGCTCTCCGTCCAGGGCTATGTCGCTCCCCATCGTACTTGAGGACCACATCCCAGATATAATTTCGAGCACCCAGAAAAGTGTCGAGAGAGTGTCGAAAGAGTGTTGAAAGATTGCCGAAAGAGTGTCTCCCAGGGCCCGACACGTGAAAACCCTCGAGTTTTGGGGGTGCTTTCCTGGTGCTCGAAATTCATTCTGGTGATCAAGGCTAAAGCAGGTTGGAACATCATAAGTCCAGGGGAGGGGAGGACAAGGAGAGGGGTAAGGTTAGGTCAGGCGTGTCCCCCTACAGGAGGATTTTGAACGAAAACTGAAACATACTCCAAACATACCCCCAAAATGCCAAAACAACTACAAAAGTAGTCCCCAGACTGTTTTTTTAAACTATTTTTGAACATTCCCCCTGTAGAAGAACAGGCCCGACTTCAGGGTAAGGCGCGACTCGGATCCCGGCGCCCCCCGCAGCCCGGTGCTGCTCGTGTACCTACGGCGGCGGGACTCCACCCCCGGGGCCCAGCGGCCCGGAAGCGGGCACGCCCCGGGGGAGCGGATGGGGGGCCCCCCCTCCCGGGGCAGCCCAGACACGCAGAGACGCGACGACGCGCGAGGACCGGAGGGAGGGATCCCAGAAGCCAGGAGGAGCAGGAGGAGGAGGAGGGGGAGGAGCAGGAGCAGGAGTAGTAGGAGGAGGAGGAGGAGGAGGAGGAGGAGGAGGAGGAGGAGGAGGAGGAGGAGGAGGGGGGGGAGGAGGAGGGGGGGGGAAGAGCGGACAGGAAGCAGGACGGGAAGAGGGGCCGCGGCTTCCGGGCGCGGCTCCTCCCCGGGGCCCACCCCCGTGGCAGGGCCCCCGCGCCCTTGCCCTGGCGCTCTCGTCGCCGCGCGCCTGCAGTCCAGGAGCTCGACCACGGGAAACCTTCCACAAGCAACCTATCCCTGCGACTCCTCCTCCTCCTCCTCCTCCTCCTCCTCCTCCTCCTCCTCCTCAGGACGTCCACGGATTGATTCTCGGTGTGAGAGCGTCACGCCCTCCGCAGCAGGGCCGTGGAAGCCCGAGGAGCCCAGGGCACACTGGAGGCAAGCAGGGTGCCTTTTGGCATGGGTTTCCACTGCACGCCCTGCCACCAGTGCGCCACATCCCCTCCCCACTCCCCTTGCCTTCCTCGGGTCGGGCGAAAGGGGGGAATAGCAAAGGGGGGGTTTGAGAGTCAGCTCACGTAGCTGATCTTCCCGGCGCCTCCTGGCGCCGGAGGCGGCGATGTCTCGAGGAATGGGGCCCCTTGGTGAGGCCGAAACCAGCTGCATGCCGCAGACTTCGTACCCCCCCCCCCTTTCCCACCCCCCCCCCCTTTCGTCCGGCCCGCCTTCCTCTCACGCACCCCCCAAGCCAGGCCCGTGGCGAGTCCAGGAGGCCCGCCTTCGGGAGGGCTCGCGCTCCCCGCCTGGGCGCCGCCTGCGGGCCCGAGGGCCGCGCACCACGGCTCGGGCCCGGAAGCCTGCTCCCTGGCCAGGGGGCCGAGATCTCTGGGAGCCCGCGGCTCGAGCCGATCCTTTGCCCCTCCTCTGCTGGAGGGAGGAGGAGGAGGAGGAGGAGGAGGAGGAGGAGGAGGAGGCGGAGGAGGAGGAGGAGGAGGAGGAGGAGGAGAGTCTTTGTGTCTGAGTGTCTGTGTGTCCATGTGCGTGTCCAGATGTCTTGCACTGGGCCGGAGGCCCCGCCCAAGTCCACGCACCGATAGGCACCTGTGCAGCAACACTGCCAGGCCTTTTGGACGCCCGAAATGGGTACGGAAAGAATGGGTACCATGCCCAACAACAAACGTTGCCCCAAAACCAACAGCGGCCGCTGTTGGGCAGGCGGCCTTCTGCCTCGAATGGCCACAGGCCGCGGCGGCGTGGACAGCGAATCCCGTCCAAAATGAGCAGGAACTGCTGCTGGGCATTGTACCCCTTCTTTCCGTACCCATTTCGGGCGTCCAGAAAGTCCTCCTCCTCTCCTCCTCCCCTCTCCTCTTCTCCTCCCCCTCCCCCTCCTCCTCCTCCTCCTCCTCCTCCTCCTCCTCCTCCTCCTCATATTCCTCCTCCTCCTCCTCCTCCTCCTCCTCCTCCTCCTCACGCACCGAGAGGCACCTGTGCAGCAACGCTGCCCGGCCTGCCCCGCCTGGCCACGGCCACCGCGTGCACCGGCCAGGCTCTCCGAGGCGTGGGCCCACGAGCGGCGCGCACAGTCGGCAAGTGCCCGCGCCCGCGCTCCCGCGCGGCCGCACGGGCAGCCTCCGCGCGGGGCCTCCGCGGGGAGAGCGGTGGAGAACCTGCCTCCGCGGGGTCGCGGCCCAGGGGCCGCGGTCCGTGAGGCCGCGGGTGCGGATTTACGTCGTGCATGTTCTCCTACAGGCGGACTCTGGATTTGTTTGTTTTGCTGTTCTCTCTCTCTATATATATATATATGTGTATATATATATATATATGTACAGATGCGTGCTTTTGAACAAATAGCAAACAAGCACATATCCTTAAGCGGACACAAGCAATCGTCACCGGACTGCCTTTTTCCTCCTTCTGCATGCTCCTCCTGCAGAGGGACATGCCCGACTTACACACACGCATGTGTCTTGTCCCCCACGACGGCCCGCGAAGCCCAAGGCCCACAGCATCCTCAGGCCTGAGCTGGATCGAATCGCAAAATCGAATCGCATCGGAAACGGATCGAATCGCCTGCTTTGGACGCCCGAAATGGGTACGGAAACATGGGTACAGTGCCCAACAACAAATGTTGTCCCAAACCAACAGTGGCCGCTGTTGGGCAGGCGGCCTTCTGCCTCAAATGGACACAGGCCGCGGCGGCGCGGACAGCAAATCCTGTTCAAAATGAGCAGGAAATGCTGCTGGGTATTATACCCATTCCTTCCGTAACCATCTCGGTCGACCCGACCTGCGAGCCGTCCCGAATCGAATCAGAATCGGCTCGCCGCGCGCGTCTCCGGTTGGCCAGGGCCGATGCTGTTCAATCGGATCGGATCGAATCGAATCGGACTCGCAAGCCCAACCCGCGAATCAAAGCTCATCGCATCGCATCGTGGCCAGCCCTGGTCCTCCGACGACGGCCCGCGCATCACAGGGCCCACAACAGGGAGGAGGGAGGGAGGGAGGAAGGAGGGAGGAGGAGGGAGGGAGGGAGGGAGGAGGAGGGAGGGAGGAGGAGGAGGGGGAGGAGGCAGGGGAAGAGGAGGGAGGAGGGGAGGGAGGGAGGAGGAAGGAGGGAGGAGGAGGGAGGAGGAAGAGGAGGAGAGAGGAGGGAGGAGGAGGGAGGGAGGATGTCAGGATGTTAGGAGGAGGCGAGGAGGAGGAGGAGGAGGAGGAGGAGGAGGAGGAGGAGGAGGAGGAGGAGGAGGAGGAGGATGAGGGGAGGAGGAGGAGAGGAGGAGGAGGGAAGGAGGAGGGAGGAGGAGTCCTCCGACGTCAGTGCCCGCACCAGCTCCAGCGCCCCCTCCTCCCGCAGCGCCCACCGCGGCGCAGGCGACGCGCCCGCGGCCTCCCGCAGCCTGGCGGGGGGGGCGGCCGGGCCCGCCTCCGCCGCCGCATCGGCGCCGCCGCCTTCGCCCCCGAGGAGCGGCGGCGAAGGTGAGGGTTCCAGACGCTGCTCCTCCTCCGCCTCGTCCTCCTCGCCCTCCTCCTCCTCACCCCCCTCCTCCTTCCTCCTCCTTCTTCCCCTCCTTTTCTTCTCCTCCCTTCCTCCTCCTCCCCTCCTCCTCTCCTCCTCCTCCTCCTCCTCCCTCCTCCTCCTCCTCCTCCTCCTGTCCCCTCCTCCTCCTCCTCCTCTCCCTCGTCCTCGTCCTCGTCGTCGTCCTCGTCCTCCTCCTCCTCGTCGTCCTCGTCCTCCTCCCCGTCCCCCATCTCGTCCTCCTCCTCGTCCTCGTCCTCGTCCTCGTCCTCCTCCTCCTCCTCCTCCTCCTCCTCCTCGTCTCGTTCTCCTCGTCCTCGTCCTCCTCGTCCCTCTCCTCCTCCTCCTCGTCCCTCTTCTCGTCCTCGTCCTGCTCCTCCTCCTTCTCCTTCTTCTCCTCCTCCATCTCGATTGTTGTTCCAGCGTAGCGCCCCCTCATGTTTTTCTTCGTGTATAACTCATCCCTGCAACCTTCTCCTCCTCCTCCATTTTTTGTCGTGCGTAACTTTCCCTCCATTTGTTTTCCGTATGAATAATTGATCCCTGCCGTACCCCGGGACAGCGACGACGTCGCTGGAGGACACGAAGCCTATGATGGAAACTCCAGGCCCAGATGTCGTCGTCGCTGGAGGAGGGGGGGGGGGGGCAAGAGTGGCGAGCCTGCGTGCACGGAGACCGCAACGAGGAGCGAGGCTGCGGCGGAGGAGGGAATGAGGCACGAGCAGCGAGAACAGCAACACCAACACCACTCGGAACTTGCCAAAGGTGTCTCTGGCCCAAGGTTGATCAAGCAACTCAAGTCATGGTAATGATAGGATCTGGGATTTAGAGAAACGGCCCCGGATTTAGAACATCCGATTCTGAATTTAGTAAAGCGGTTTCTGCGTTTACTGAATGATGTTTTTTTCTTGTTTTGATTCGGCGGCGCAATGTAGCAAATCCGCCTCTCGCTTTAGGAAATCAGCGTTTTTTTACGTAGCACGCCGCAGTTGCGGATAAGAGTGAGGGGACGGCGAGAACATCGTCGGTCTGCGAGGCTCTGAAGAAGCCCGCCGCAGGCGCCTAATTTTAACAAAGTATGCATTGAACCCGCCGCAGGCGCCGATTGCTTCGTAAAAGCAATGTGGGTGGATCGCGGGGAAGGTCGCGGGTGGGTCGCGAGTGGGTCGCGGGTGGGCCGCGGTCTGGGTCGCGGATGGGTCGCGGGTGGGCCGCGTATGGGGTGGGTCGCGGGGGGGTCGCGGGTGGGTCGCGGGTGGGTCGCGGGGTGGGTCGTGGGGTGGGTCGCGTGGTGGGTCGCGGGGTGGGTCGCGGGTGGGTCACGGGCGGTTCACGGGGTGGGTCGCGGGGTGGGTCGCGGGTGGGTCGCAGATGGGTCGCGGGGTGGGTCGCGTGTGGGTCACGGGGTGGGTCGCGGGGTGGGTCGCAGGGTGGGTCGCGGCGTGGGTCGCATGATGGGTCGCGGGAGGGTCGCGGGCGGGTCGGGGGGGGGACGACGACAACAACAACAGCAACAGCAACAACAACATCGAACACAATCCTCCCCGCGGATCCCCACAAAGAAGGAGCGCTCGGCCCCCTCACTCTGAGAAGTTGTTTCAGACACGCGCGTTCCTTCATTACCACGACCTGCGTTAGCCAGTGACAGAGGCCTCCCGGATGGCCCCAGGAGGAGGAGGAGGAAGAGGAGGAGGTGGAGGAGGTAGAGGAGGCCTCTTAAGGCCTCCTGGGGGCCTCTTGGGGACTTCTTTGATGCCTCTTGGGCCGTCTGGGCGCCATCATAAATACGTCTGACCTGCGTTAGCCAGTGACAGAGGCCTCCAGGATGGCCAGGGGGGCCCCTGCAGCCTCAAGACCGTCCCTCGCGACGCCCGCGGCGCCTCGCGGGGCTCCGCGGTGGCGCGCACATCCGGGGACGCCCGGGGCCGAGAACACCTCTGGCCGCCCGCAAGGCATCTTGGCAGTCCCCAGACGGAAAGGGGCCCTGGGACACACAAATGCGTAGACACAAATAACAGGATCCCCCATCTTTTCCAACCTTTTCTGGGTTTTCGTTTTCCCTCCCACTTCCCATCTTTTCCCAAAATTTTCCTGGGAATCGACGATCAATTGTGCCTGTGTTTTTTCCCCTCTTGACAAACGTGGTGGTGACAACACCCGGCGGTGAGTCTCGGGCGATTCGGTGTCACCACCCGGTCTGGGGACTCGCGTGGTCTTTCGAGGACGTCCCAGACGCCGGTGGGTCCAGGAGCCACAAGCCCGGCGGCGACCCCGTGCTCCCAAGCTCGGGGGTGACTTCTTGGGAGATTCCAGGTCGCCACCACCCGATATCTCACCACCTGGTTCGAGCGGAGCGGAGCGGAGCGGCGCCGATGTCGCCCAGAGGGCGTCCCTTGTAGGGAACGGCGGGTGCGCTGGGGCGCCTCGGGTCTGAGCTCGGAACGCGGCCGACATTGGAGCGTAGGGCGCCGGAGTCGGAAACTTGACCGCTGGAGTCGGGAGGCCGGTGTGGATTCGGGAGTTGGCAGCCAGAGCCTCGTTTGGGGGCTCCCAAGCATTGTGTGACTAACTACCAGACCACCCCAACCCAACCCGAAGACCCGACTTTCGGGTTGGGGGGGGGGTACGGGTTCCATACGTGTTTTCTCGATGTTCCCCGAACCCCCCCCCCACTGGAAATGGGGGTCAATATGAGGCCTTCGGGTTGGGTTGGGGTGGCCTGGTGGGTGGTGATTGTGGATGCCACGACACTGGACTCCCTAACAATCCTAGCATTGAATTGAAGACGTGTTTACAATGTCGGAAAAATATTCTAATTATGGTTTAAACATGATTTGAACATGTTTAACACATGTCTTAGACATCTGGAAGTTATTTGGAAACATGCTTCCTCTCCACTGATCGTCCTCCACAACCCAAGCATGAAGGGGCCCTAGGACACACAAATAAATACACACAAATAAAATAATTCCAAACATTTTCCCATATTTCCTCGGTTTTTGTCTTCCCCCCCACTTCCTATATTTTCGCCTATTTTCTGGGAACCGATGGTGAATTGTGTCTGTGTCTTTCCCCTCCTGAAGGCAGCCCTCGAGGCATCACCGCCGTCTCCGCCGGCAGCCGGCGCAGCGCGCAGCGGCGGCATCCGGCACTGCTAGGGAGCCCACGAAGGACGTACGCGCCCAGCTATGTACATGAACACGGCCCCTTGACCCGCGAGACCGGCCGCGTGCTACGAGCATTCGCGCGAGGCGAGATCTCGAAAACAGCGTGGATTCATGCACGTGTACGTCCTTCTGTCGCTCCCGACTGGAGGCCGGAAGCAGCAACGCGCCAGGCGTCGCTCGGAGCGGCCACAGGCGGAATTTGGAGTTCCGTTCCCCTTATGTTCCGATATATTCCGATCTGTTCTGGACTTTTGGACTATAGATTCCCCTTATGTTCCCCTTGGAATACACACACAAATAAAACTACTCCCCCATATGTTCCGATATGTTCTGGACTTTTGTCTTCCCCACCTCCCATATTTTCCCATATTCTCCTGGGAATCGACGATTCATTGTGTCTATGTTTTTTCCCCTTCTGGAGGAAGCACGCGGATTGCCACAGTGAAGGGGCCCAAGGACGCGCAAACGAACACACACAACTAAAACTACTCCCCCATAGTTTCCGACATGTTCTGGATTTTTGCCTTCCCCACCTCCCATATTTTCCCGTATTCTCCTGGAAATCGACGATTCATTGTGTCTATGTTTTTTCCCCTCCTGGAGGAAGCACGCGGCTTGCCACAGCTGCGGGCGGGCCTCGCCGCCAGCTCGGTCGCGGGAGCCCCCGCCTTCGGGGGCCCCTGGGGCCTCCTGACTGGAGGCCGGAAGCAGCAGTGCGCCAGGCGTCGCTCGTGCGGCCACGGGCGGAACTGGAGGAAGAGCACGGCTTGCCACAGTGAAGGGGCCCGAGGACACGCAAATGAATACACACAAACAAAACTACTCCCCCATATTGTCCGATATTTTCTGGATGTTTGTCTTCCCCGCTTCCCATATTTTCCCATACTCTCCTGGGAATCGACGATTCGTTGTGTCCATGTTTTTTCCCCTCCTGGAGGAAGCACGCGGCTTGCCACAGTGAAGGGGCCCAAGGACGCGCAAATGAATACACACAAATAAAACTATTCCCCCTATTGTCCCCTATTTCTGCCGCGGCGGCGGCCGCCGCGGCCCCCCCCCCGCGCGCCGCGGGCCTGCGCCCCAGGCTCGCGTGCCGCATCGGCGGGGTGCGCACCCCCGGGCCTCGGCATCCGCCCGCGCGCGCGGAGGCGCGGCTCGTGGGGCGAGCCGCTCCGCTCGGCCCGCCCCCCCCCTCAAGAGGGCTGGAGGGCAAAGGAAGCGAGGCGATCGAAAGGAGTACACCCTGCGAGATGCTTAAGAAATCATGGGTTAAGAGATTCATAGTCTCAGAACTTGAACAAAAGCCCAGCAGTTCTATTAAAATCTTGAGATTTACACTGGAACATTAAGAATAATCGAGACTCTGGCCGAAAACTTAAGTTTTCTTAAGCATCGCCTAAGGTGTACCGTCGGGGCGTTGACCTAAGGAACCCAAAATAATTGGAGGCCTGGAAATGGGCACCGACACCAAGACAGGGGGCTGCCTCCACAGGGGGGAGATGGTCTCAGATTTCGGTGCTGGTGGTGATATGTTGGTCGCCTTGGAAGCCAGAACATTACCACCATCACCGAGATCGGGATCTTCTTCCCTCGGTGGAGGAACACTGCCGATATTGGTGTTGGTGTCAACCTCTAGGCCTGCGAAATAAGGGACGAGGCCCCTCTTCTCCAGAAGATGAACTTCGACTTCCCATCGAAAACCTAAGGAAAACCGGAGGCAACCTGCGACACAATCAAAGAACACCGAGCCTCTCCCCAACGAAAAGGGTTCCTTCTTCAGCGCCCCGACTGTAGGATCGGCGGAAAGCGGCTGCCGAGTCGGGAGAAGTCCATGGAGAAATTGGATCCCAAGTCGGAGTCCGCTGCTGAATCGAATCGGAATCGGGATCCATCGGAATCGAATCGAATCGAATCGGAAGAATCGAAATCAGCCCTGCAAGGGTGCTGCCAGAGCCGCATGAGGCGGTCCAAGCTCTCTCAGGCAGGCCCCATAGGAGAGAGGGGGGTTCCCTGAGCACCCGCGATGCGTCAGGACGAGGATGACTTCGGGTGGGTATAACTCTGGAGCCGCGGCCTTCTCGGAGCGTTCCAGAACGCTCGGAGGGCGCTCCAAAACGCTCTGATCAACGCATTTATCCCCGTCCTTGATCGAGCCGCTCAGGTCACGGTAATGATAGGATCTGGGATTTAGATAAAACGGCCCCGGAGATTAGAAATCCGTCTTTGAATTTAGTACACCTGTTCTTGCATCTACGAAGTGATGCTTTGTCTTGTGTTGGGTCGGCGGCGCCATTTGATGAATCCGTTTCTCGCTTGAGTGAAACATCGTTTTGTTTTCAACACTTCCTTTCAGGAACGCGCGTTCATTCTTCGGGAGCGGCCAAGAGGGAGGTGTCCAAGAGGGGTGTGTGCAAATCATGACTGGCGGCATGGGCCTCCCCGGGGGACGTAATGAAACAAGAAGAGGCGCCACGAAATCTGGGGAAACATCATGGCCCGCGCCATGAGATCCCCCCCCCCCTAGTCATCACCCCCCTCTTCTCCGCCCCCGAATTCTTTACCATGACCCATATGAGCCGGTGAGCCCTGGCCCCGTCCGAGGCTCCTCGTTGGCTGGGTCGCCTCTGCCCCCCCCCCCCCCCCACGTCCGGCCGCGGCGCTCGCGGCGGCCCATCTCGGTCGGGGGGGAGGGGCCGAGGGCCGAGGCCCCCTGGGGTGTGGGGGGGGGGGGGCTGCCTGCAAGGGGGGGAGGGAAGGGCAACGATGGGGGGGGGGGGCTGGCGCAGCGGGGGGGGGAGAGCAGGAGGAGGAGGCGGAGGCGAGGAGGAGGAGGAGGAGGAGGAGGAATGAATGCCCTTCATGGTCCCATCTGCTGCTGCTGGCGACATGCGCTCTAGAAGTGTGCACTAGACATCCGAGCGAAGGAAGACGTGCACAACATCGGCTGGAGTCCGGCCTACTCGAGTTTGAATCGGCAAGGCCAACGAACCCACCGACCCAACATTCCGAACCTCCACGCAGGCCTATGGAGCCCCGGAGGGGAAGGGGGGGGCAGGGGACGCGTCGACGTGAGAAGAGGCACCGTGGAATCTGGGGAGGCATCATGGCCTCCTCCATGATCCCAGACCTTCCTCGGGGGCTAAACCATAGCACTAGGACCTCGACATCCAAAATCCAGTCGAGGTTTAAGCTGTCCAGATAGGCCTATAGGCCTGGAAGGATACAATGCGGGCGCGGCCGCAAGAAACCCTCGCAAGAGATCCAACCCTGAGAACCCGTGCGCGAGGTGCACCTGAGGGGAAACTGAAGACCCTGAACGCAGCGGCTCCTTCAACGGCTGCGGGAAGTCACCGCGCAGCGCGAGGAGCGAAGAAGCCCAGTATACCCTGACGAAAAGCATCTGGTTTCTTGATGCGCGCCCCCACTGTTTGTTTAGCACCCTGGAAGGTCAGGGATACCAGCCCCCTCGTTATCACCCCCACCTCTTGGCCGCCCCCGCCCTGCGCCCCCCATTGGTTGAGCAGAGACCGACCGTCCCGGCATCTCTACAGGCCTACCACGACATGTTCTTAGAACCCCCAGATCTTCCAATAACGAAAACAACGTTCCTAAAACATCAACCCGACGTGCTAAAGCAAGACAGCCCCAGCCAGAAATCTTCTAGGAACATTTCGTGCCAACCACAGAAAGGTTCTTAGAGCATTCTCTGGTGCGCCTGTAGGCGAGCCAGGACGCTTCGCCACTGCCTGCAGTGGGCGGATCCCAGAACGTCTCCATCTCTTCGGGGCGCACCTGCTACCCTCGCCGCTTCCCGCCGGCTGCCGCCGCCCCCCGGCGGAGGCGGCCTCCCGCTGGACTTCCGCCGCCGCCCTCCCGCCGAGGAGGAGGTGCCACCTCCTTCTTGGAGGTCGCTTGGGGGGCAGCAGTGTTTCCGGGGCCAGATCCCAATACGCTCAGCCGGCGCGCTGGATCCGTCAATCACAATCCTCACGACACCCCTGCGCGACAAGTTCGGACCTTGGGCTTGAGTGGGCTGCTCAGCTTGGCTCTTACCCTACGGCAGGTCCGTGCCGTGTCGACCTGGGCGTTGGTCCCTGACGCCGCGAGGATCGTTCAACCTTGAACGATCGGCCATTTCCGTAACGTCCGATCGTTCAACATCGACCGATTCTGGGCCTCCGCCGGCATTCAATGTTGAACGCCGGCGTCGGGGTCGCCGCCGGTCGACACGACGCGAACCTACCGTACGAGCATTGCCTCGTCCTCCGTCGCCCCAGAAACGCAGATCGCGTTCGCTGCCCCCCAGCGAGCTGAAACATCCTTCGACCCTCGAAGGCGAGGCCCTCTTTGGAGCGCCCCGCTTTGGGCCTCCCGCCGGCTGCCGCCGCCCGCCGGCGGAGGCGGCCTCCCGCTTGACTTCCGCCGCCGACTCCGCCGAGGAGGAGGTGCCATCTCCTTCGACCCTCGAACTGGCCATCGCTCGGACGTCCATTCCCTGTGCTTTTCTCCGGTTTCGCGCGTGGTTTCTTCGCCGAGTGATCAAGGATGCTCCTCGATGGCCGTCGCCGATAGAAAAATGCACACGTCCGAGCGATGCCAAGCGACGGCGAGGCCCCCTTTGGAGCGCCCCATTTTGGCCCTCCCCGCCCCTGGAGAGAGCGTCCTCCGGGAGCTCCCACGGCCCAAGCCGGCCCCTCTCGGGGCGGCGGGCGCGCGTGCCCCGGCGCCCGGAGGGGGGGGAGCGGGGAGCTTCTGGGGCGCGGGCGGCGCTGGGACTGCTCGCCGCCGCTGCAGAGCATGTACATCACCACGCCGAATCTCGGACGGCGACCCCCGCGGCGCACGCGCTCCGCCGCCGTCGCCGCCGCCTCGTGGTCATCATCATCATCATCATCATCATCATCATCATCATCATCATCATCATCATCATCAGCAGCAGCAGCAGCAGCAGCATCATCATCATCATCAGCAGCATCACCATCATCATTAGCAGCATCGTCATCATCATCAGCAGCAGCAGCAGCATCGTCATCATCATCATCATCATCATCATCATCAGCAGCATCATCGCCATCGTCATCGTCATCGTCATCACCTTCACCAGCAGCAGCAATAATCATCATCTTAATCATCACCCTCGTCCGCATCATCATCATCCTTATCGTTACCCCCACCATATCGGTCCTCACAATCATACACATCATGATCATGCTCGCCAGCATGATCATCACTACCACCACCATCATCAGCATCACCATCACCATCATCATGAGCAGCAGCATAATCATCCTCGACATCCTCCCCACCACCACCATCATCATCACCACCACCATCACCACCGTCGCAACCATACACAACATCGTGAACATCACAAGATCCATGATCACCACAACCATGACCATCATCGTCACCATCATCATTCACATCGTTGTCTCATAATCAAAACAATCATCATCATCAACACCATCACAAGCTCCATCATCAACATAATTATGATCATGATCACCGGCATCATCATCATCAGCATCATCATCGTCATCACCACCACCACCATCATCATCATCAACATCCTCAATATTACCATCATCATCACCATCACCACTACCATCATGATCAACATCATCATCATAATCAGCAGCATCGTCACCGTCACTGGCATCATCATCATCGTGGTCGTCACCATCATAGTCATAGCCATAATCACCATCGTCACCACCATCATCAGCATCATCATACACAGCAGCATCATCATCAACATCAGTATCATCATCAACATCACCATGATTGTCATCCACGTCATCATCATTACCACCACAATCACCATCAGCAGCAACAGCGACCTCGTTGCTGTCGTCAACAGCATCAACATCGTCATCACATGCAACTGTTTTCTGTCGAGGCCCTATTGGTATTTACTGTCGTCATCTTCACCTTCGCCATCCTCTTCATCGACGTCATCGTCATCGTCATCGTCATACCCATCATCATCAGCATCATCATCACCATCATCACCATCATCATCGTCATCATCATCATCCTCATCATCAGCATCGTCATCGTCATCCACGTCATCACCCTTACCATCACCATCACCATCAACATCAGCAGCGTCCTCGTTGGCGTCGTCAGCAGCATCAACGTCTTCACCACATGCAACGGTTGTCCGTCGAGGTCCTATTGGTATTTACTACTGTCGTCATGTTCACCTTCGTCATCCTCTTCATCGACGGCATCGTCATCGTCATCGTCATCCTCATCATCCCCCGTATCATCATCATCATCACCATTATCATCAGCATCGTCATCCACGTTATCACCATTACCATCACAACCACCATCGGCAGCAGCATCGGCATCGTCCTCGCTGGCGTCGCCAGCAGCATCGACCTCGTCATCACATGCAACTGTTGTCCGTCGAGGTCCGATCGGCATTCCCTGTCGTCAACTTGACCCTCGGCATCGTCGCCATCGGCGTCATCAGCATCGCCAACGGCATCGCCGGCATCATCACCAACATGATGAGCAGCATCATCATCATCATCATCATCATCATCATCATCAGCATCATCATCATCATCAACAACAACATCATCATCATAAGTATGTCATCATCATCATCATCAGCAGCATCAGCATCAGCATCAACATCATCATCAGCCACATCAGCCCCCGCTGCCTCGCCGCTCCGCCCCCCCCCGCCCCGCGCACATGCGCGCACGCCTCCCCGCTCCTCCTCCCCTCCTTCGGGGATCTTCTGACCCGGGTCGATCCAAACCCGGGTCAGCAGGAAACCAAAAACTGCAATGCAGGAAAAAAAACTGCAACGCAGGTCTTCGCAAACCCGGGTCAGCCAATATGCGCGGCCGCCTCGCGGCCACGAGCGGCTCAGTAACCCGGGTCAGCCAGAGGGGGTCTTCGCAGGATCCTGCAGGATCTGGCGCCCTGGCTGACCCCCGTTTGCAATTGACCCCCGTCTCTTGAGCCCCGACTCCTGACTGCCACGCCCCCCCCCCCGGCTGCCGCGGGCGGCCTCCCTGCGCTGGGCCATGCGCCCGTGGGCCAGCTCTGGGAGGCGCGGCACCACAGAGCGACCCGAGCGGGAGCTCCCCGTCACCCCTCGCCTGCAGCGGCCCCTCTCCGCCCCCCCCCCCCTTGCCACTCTGGGCCTCGCTCTCTGCTCCACCATGCTCCGCCCCTCCCGCCACCATGGCCCCTCCCTGCCTCGTCTTCGCACCCGGCAGCCTCCTCCTCCTCCTCCTCCTCCTCCTCCTCCTTCTCCTTCTCCTCCTCCTCCTCCTCCTCCTCCTCCTCCTCCTCCTCCTCCTCCTCCTCCTCCTCCTCCTCCTCCTCCTCCTCCTCCTCCCCCCCAGGTCTCCCTCTATCCCTCTCTGGCGCCCCCCGCCGCCCCGACCTCATCCCATGGCGCCAGCCGCCAGTGGGACTGGGCGATTGCCGCCTTCGGGATGATCAGGGCAGCTGGCAATCGAAATCAGCAAAAACCCAGGCGGAGGCCGAGTGCTCCGTATGGACTCACTCCGTGTGGACTTGGCCTCCGATCAGGAGAGGCGAAGTGCAGATGGAGTAAGCCCAGACGAAGACCGAGCGCCCAGTATGGACTTGCCCCGTATGGACTCGGCATCCGCCGAGATGGAGGGGGGATGACAGAGGGTGGTGATGGTAAGAATTGATGATGATGATGATGATGATGATGATGATGATGATGATGATGATGATGATGATGATGATGATGATGGTGATGATGATGATGATGATGATGATGATGATGATGATGATGATGATGAGGGTGGTGATGATGCTGTGGATGATGGTGATGATGATGCTGATGATGCTGCTGATGATGATGGTGATGATCATGATGCTGATTGTGATGGCAGGTTATGATGAATGGTGGATATGGATGGTGGATGAAGGTGAAGATGAAATGAAGATGAGCATGATGATGATGGTGGTGGTGACGATGATGATGATGCTGCTGACGATGATGGTGGTGACGATGATGATGCTGATGATGCTGATGCTAATGCTGCTGATGCTGATGATGATGCTGATGATGATGATGACGGAGGGTGCGATACTCCTGGGAATTCCTGGCCGCCACAGTCCACGCGGCCTGGGGGGAGGGCGGAAGGCAGAGGAGGGAGCAGAGGGCGAGGGTCCAGTCGGGCAAGTCCCCCTACAGGAGGAATATTCAAAAAATAATAAATAGAAAAATAGTCTGGGGACGATGTGTCTATCATTTTGTTGACTATGTGTGAATAGTTGTTGTTGTTGAGCACCTTGTATCTCTCGTCCAAAATCCGCCTGTAGGGGGACATGCCCGACCTAAGACGAGGGGGGAGGCTGGGTGAGGAGGGTTCAGGGCGGCGGCGGGCTGCTCATGGGGCAACCAAGAGGTACCGATACCGCTACTCCCCGGACCTCTCCCAGGGTGCGCTCTGACCAGAATGTCGAGGCGAATCCAGCGGTGGCGACGAGGGCCTCCCAGGAGGTCCCAGAGAGGGAACACGGGCGAAGGTTATCGGTATGGGTACCTTTTCCTCGTCTGAGAACAGGAGCACTGGCCAAACTGTGGCACGCTCGAAGACAACAAGTTAGCTTAAGTTCCTCGGGTGCGCATATGTAGGCAGTGCTTAGCACGATGGGGGGGCTAAGGGGGGAGGAGAGAAGGGACACTGATCTCCGACGACTCGCTGTATTTCTGAGCTAAAGAGGCCCAGGGACACACAAATAAATGGACGCAAACTCCCAGGATAGCCAATCCTTTCCAACCTTCTCTGGAGCTTCGTCTTCCCCCCCACTTCTCCCATGTGTTTCCATTGCATCCTTGGCATCGACGATTCATCAGGAGAGCGCATGATGGAATCGATGTCGGAACGGCGATCGTAATGAATCGGATCGGCGGAAATCGGCAGCCGAGTCGGGAGAAGTCGAATCGGCGGAAATCGGCGGGATGGTCTGCCTCCAACAAGCAATCGGTTCCAAATCGGAATCCGAAGTCGAATCGGAATCGGAAGCCATCGAATGCGAATCGAAATGGATCGGGGGAATCGAAACGAACCCCGATTCATGGTGTCTGTGCGACTGTGTCCGCTCCTGATGGTCGCAGCCGCGTGGTGTGCCCGTGTGAAGACGGGGTCGCCGCACGGCCTTGGTAGAGAATCGAACTCTATACACCGACGCTTCTTCCGGCCCTGCATTGGAATTTGCACTGGAGAGCGGATCCGAGTGTATACGGGACCCTGGTGTATAAACTGTTCGGTGCTTCCCCAGGACATCGGAGAAAAAAGTATACACCACACCACCCCAGCGTCGTCCTCGACCCTCAAGATATCCTTGGATTGAAAAGCAGCCCGCCACTGGTAATGTAGATGTTCCAGTTTCCGATTTGGGGCCGCCCAACAAGAGAAAGGGGGCCCAGGGACACTCAAGCAAGTACACACGGGTCCCAGGATGCCCCCCTCCTTTCCCACAGCTTCAGGGCTGTCGTCTTCCCCTCCGCTTCCCACAGCTTCCCACGTTTTTGTCCTGGGGGTCGACGAGGAGAACTGTGTATGTGTGTTTCTCCCCCTCCTGGAAAGATCCGTCCCCTATCCCGACCACTAGGAGGCCTGGAAATTGGCACCAACACCAGCACAGGGGGTTGCCTCCACTTGGGGAAGATGATCCTCGATTTCGGTGTTGGTGGTACTATTTCGGCCACCTCGCAAGCCAGAATATGACCACCATCGCCGAGATCGGGATCGTCTTCCCTCGGTGGTGGCGCACCGCCGATCTTGGTGCTGGTGCCAACCTCTAAGTGGGCGCCCGAGTTATCTGGGGTAACTCGGGCCCGGAGTAACTCGGGTTTGGATTCCCGAAAAACGAACCCGAATTAGCCCTGACCCGAATTATCCCTGATGGTTTGGGGCTCTGGACGCCTGAGTTATGCGGGGTAACTCGGGCCCGGGGCAACTCGGGTTCGGATTCCCGAAACACGAACCCGAGTTAGCCCTGACCCGAGTTACCCCTGATGGTTCGGGTCTCTGATCTAGGCCGCGGCCCAGCGGGGGGGCCTGGGACGTACTGAAATAAGAAGAGGCGCCATGAAATGTGAAGAAAAATCATAGCCCGCGCCATGATATCCATCCCCCCCCTAGTCATCACCCCCCTCTTTTCCGCCCCCGACTCTCGGCCCTGCGTTGGTAGTCCCCAAACGTGGTGGTGACAACACCTGGCGGTGAGTCTCGGGCGATTTGGTGTCACCACCCGGTTTGGGGACTCGTGCTGTTTTCCGAGGATGTCCCGAACACTGGTGGGTCCAGGAGTCACAAAACCCGGTGGTGACCCCGTGTCCCCAAACCCAGCGGTGACCTTTTTGGATGATTCCAGGTCGCCACCTGGTATCTCACCACCCGGTTTGGGGGTTCCCAACTGCGAACCGCGCGTGGACGGCCCCGGGGCCCAAGGCGCCAGAGAGGTCGGCCCGGCGGGAGGCGGATGGGGCGGGCGGGGCAGCCGGGGCCGCCGCGAGTACACGTCCACCGCCAGCGTGTAGCCCTTTCATGGGGGGCAGCGAAAGGGGGGGGAGGAGGAGGAGGAGGACCAAGAGGAGAAGGAAGAGGAGGAGGAGGAGGAGGAGGAGGAGGAGGAGGACGACGAGGAGGAGGAGGAGGAGGAGCATCGACCTGGACTCGACGAGATATCGCCGATGGATCGGCGGTAGGCCCACGATGGTGACTGGGAATTGGAGGCCTGGGAATGGGCACCGACACCAACACAGGAGGTCGTCTCTACAGGAGCAGATGACCCTAGATTTCGGTGTTGGTGGTAATGTGTCGGTCAACTTGAAGCCAGAATATTATCACCATCACCGAGATCGGGATCTTCTTTCGATGTTGGTGTTCGTGTCAGCCTCTAGGCCTGCGACACTGGCACCACGGGAGGATGCATCGACCTGGACACGACGAGATATCGTCGATTGATCGGCGACAGGTCTACGATAGCGACTCCGCACCTGCCTGGGCGGGTGGGGCCTATCAGACCCCTGTCGGCGAACAATGGGCGATTGGGGGTGGATGCATGCCCCCCTATGCCTATCCCCCCCTGTCGTTGCCATTGACCTTCGAGGGGAGGAGGATCTCCGGCGCGACGTACCCGTGAGAACCGCACACCGTGTTCGCTTCCGTGGCGTTGTGCATCTTCTTGGCGAGCCCGAAGTCCGTCAGCTTTGCGTGGAAGAGGGCGTCCTCAGGAGGCCGAGCAAAGATGTGTTACACGAAGTAAGACACAACTCTGAAGGTGTCTGGGTCGGTGCTGAGCCCCCCTCCCCCTCTTCTCCTCGCGCCAAGCGCGGCACACGGCAAGTCCGTGTCGTGACCACGTCGGCGTCGGTATCTGACACCGCGTGGATCGACGAGCCTTGGAACGGTCGCGATCTTCCGGTAGCGCCGTTCGCTCGATATCTGCCGACTCCTGGCAACGAAGGGCGCTCCACCAGGAACGCCCGCACCGGGGTCGCCACAGCGTCGACGCGGCGCGAGCCTGCCGAGAGATGTGCTGTCGGGGCTGGTTGGGAAGGACACGCGAGAGGGAGCAAGCTTCCTCAGAGGGCCAGGTTGCCACAAGACTGTAAGAGAGCAAGGGTCGCGGAACGCAGGACACAGAGGTGGCCTTGCGTTGGCGGGTTCTGGAAACCCTGACACCCGACAGATTGTCATCTCTTGGGAGGCCGACTTGAGCTTCATGTTTTTGAAGGCTACTCCCATTCCCAAGGAAGTCTTGCGGGGGCAGCAAAAAACAACCGCTGAACATCGCGGCGCAACCGAAAACAGACGCTGCCCTAGGGGAGGGAATCGGAGGCCTGGAAATTGACACCAACACCAAGACAAAGGGTTGCCTCCACAGGGGGGAGACGATCCTAGATTTTCATTGTTGGTGGTACTAGTTCGGCCACCCTGGAAGCCAAAATATCACCACCGTCACCGAGATCGGGATATTCTTCCCCCGGTGGAGGCACACCGCCGAAATTGGTGCTGGTGCCAACCTCTAGTTGGGCGCCCGAGTTATCCGGGGTAACTCGGGCCCGGAGTAACTCGGGTTTGGATTCCCGAGAAACGAACCCGAATTAGCCCTGACCCGAATTATCCCTGTCGGTGTCAATCCTTGGGCCTGCGAGGGGAGGCGCGAGGCGGGAAGGCAGCTGTGCCTTCAGCCCCTTCTCCCGCGCACCCCCTGCCTCTGCCCTCTCCGCGGGGGCGAGGCGCTTGCTTCTCCGCCGGCCTCCCGCCGAGGAAGGGATTGGCAACTCTCCTTCGAATCCGCGAAGGCAAGGCCCTGCCTTTAGGAGTCCACAAATCCACCCCGACAATACTCCAGATTTCGTAGTAAAGGGGGGGTCTCATTTCGGGTGGGGGTCCCGACAATACTCCAGATTTCGTAATAAAGGGGGGGGGTCTCATTTCGGGGGGGGGTCTCTTCCAGGCTGTCTTGGAGGGCCTGGGGGGGGGTCTGGGGACGATGTTTTGGAGGGTTCTCCCACGAGGGGGGGGTCTGAAATGGCTTGTCTTGGAGGGTCCAGACCCCCTCCCTTTTATTACGAAACCTGGAGTAACCATCCCGACACGCGAAGTCGTTAAGGAAACGCGCCCAAAGACGGAATCGAGCAGGGCAGGGCTGTTTAGGGAACGCCCAGGGCCGCTCAGTAAACGCCAATTGTCCCGTCCGGGTGGATTTTCCTCCCGGCGGGCCGATCTACTAATCAGTCTCGTCTGTGGTCGTTTTGCTCGTCCAGTCCAGCACCACGTTCTCGGGCTTCAGGTCGCGGAACATGACCCTCAGCGCGTGCAGGTGCTCCAGCGCCAGCAGCACCTCTCCCCCGAGCTGCGCCACCCGCGGCAGCGGCAAGCCTGCACGCCCCCAGGTAAGACGAAGCCAGAACGAGGATGAAATAGGTGAGGATAAGAGCTGGAAAACTCTGAGATTCGGCGGTTCTGGAGGATGTCTCGGGCGCCGCGGCCTTCTCAGAGCGTTCCGGAAAACTCTGAGATCGTCCCAGAACGCTCTGAAACGGCTTGATCCTCGTCCTGGCCCCGTCCGACCAGGGCTGTCCGCCGAGGTCCCCTGCCCAACAACAACAACAACAAGAACAAGAACAAGAACAACAACAACAACAACAACAACAACAACAACAACAACAACAACAACAACAACAACAACAACAACAACAAAAGCAACAACAACAACATCAACAACAACAACGACAACAACAACAACATCAACTACAACAACAACATCATCAACAACACCAACAACAACAACAACAACAACGACAGCAACAACAACAACAACAACACCACCAACAACAACAACAATCATTTTACCCTCATGCGCCATGCTTCCACATGACACATGCATCCATCTGGATAACACACCCCATCATGGGGGATTTTTCTGGCATGCGGGATCCGATATTCCCTCACCCAGATATCCCGCCCAAGAAGGTTTGGCCACCACCTCTTCCGAGGAACTTCAACATCCATAGCTCGGACGGCACATCGCCTTCGCAATCGCCTTGCGCATGCCCCGCATCTCAGAGGGAGAGGAAGAGGAAGAGGAGGGGGAGATGAGAGAGATAGGGAGGGGGAGGAGGAAAAGGGAGGGGGAGGAGGGGGAGGAAGGATGAGTAGTTGTAGTAGCAGCAGTTGATGATATTGTTGTTGCGGCTGTAGCACTAGTAGTAGTGGTAACGGTAGTAGTAGTAGTCCAAGCAAGTAGAACTGGCTTGTGGCAGCCAAACGTTCACAGCGACGTTGCTTTTTGATCCTCCTTTAATGTCTTCTTTCCCTATCCTTGAGACGCAGAAGTCTCAAAACATTGGATGGTTCAGCGCATCCAGGAAACCTATCGCTGGACCGGCCCAGATATGGTTCCAGAAGCGGCTCGGGAAGCTGCGCAGGCGCCAGAAGCAGAGAAGCACCACGTACGGGCGCTGGCTCGGGCGTCCGGACCAAAGCCGCTCCAGAATCGGCCCAGGACGGCTTCCCGGGCGCCGCAAGCAGAAATTCAGCATGTTCGAAAGAAAAATGTGTATTGGAATGACCTCTTTTCGGCGCGATCGGAACTGCCCGGGCGTCCGGCCCGGGAGCCGGGCCGGGTGCCGGCCGGGCCGGGTGCCGGCCCGAGCTCCGGAATCGGCCTGGACGGCCTCCCGGGCGCCGGAAGCAGAAATTCAACATTTTCGAAAGAAAAATGTGTATTGGAATGGCCTTTTTTCGGCGCCGCCTCGGAACTCGATTTTCCGGCGCCCGGGCGCCGGCTCGGGCGCCGACCCGGGCGTCCGGCCCGGGAGCCGGGCCGGGTGCCGGCCCAGGCTCCGGAATCGGCCCGGACGGCTCCCGGGCGCCGGAAGCAGAAATTCAGCATTTTCGAAAGAAAAATGTGTATTGGAATGGCCTTTTTTCGGCGCCGCCTCGGAACTCGATTTTCCGGCGCCCGGGCGCCGGCTCGGGCGCCGACCCGGGCGTCCGGCCCGGGAGCCGGGCCGGGTGCCGGCCCGAGCTCCGGAATCGGCCCGGACGGCCTCCCGGGCGCCGGAAGCAGAAATTCAGCATTTTCGAAAGAAAAATGTGTATTGGAATGGCCTTTTTTCGGCGCCGCCTCGGAACTCGATTTTCCGGCGCCCGGGCGCCGGCTCGGGCGCCGACCCGGGAGCCGGGCCGGGTGCCGGCCCGAGCTCCGGAATCGGCCCGGACGGCCTCCCGGGCGCCGGAAGCAGAAATTCAGCAGTGGTATGTGTATTGGAATGGCCTTTTTTCGGCGCCGCCTCGGAACTCGATTTTCCGGCGCCCGGGCGCCGGCTCGGGCGCCGACCCGGGCGTCCGGCCCGGGAGCCGGGCCGGGTGCCGGCCCAGGCTCCGGAATCGGCCCGGACGGCCTCCCGGGCGCCGGAAGCAGAAATTCAGCATTTTCGAAAGAAAAATGTGTATTGGAATGGCCTTTTTTCGGCGCCGCCTCGGAACTCGATTTTCCGGCGCCCGGGCGTCCGGCCCGGGAGCCGCTCTCGGCGGCGAGCAAGAGCACCGAGCCCGAGTAAAAAAGGAGGAAGTCTCGAGCCGGAGCGTTGTTGTTGTTGTTGGGGGGCCGGTTTTGGCGGAACCCCAAAACGCCTGAGCGTGAGCCTCAATTTCAGAGGAAATGCGGCCGGCGCCTCGGCGAGAGCGCCAGGGCGAATATAGGGGGTCCAACAATAATAATTGTTTAGTAATTAAGGTTCAACAACAACAACAACAACAACAACAACAACAACAACAACAACAACAACAACAACAACAATCATTTTACCCGAACGCGTGGTGTTCTCCCCAGTGCCAGGGTTTTCATACGACACCAGGCAATACCCCCACTTCGTGGGGGGGCATTACAAGCTCTACCAAATATCCAAACGACTCTTCGCGACCACCCAAACCCAGCTTCCCGCCCTATGACGTTGGGACACTTCACTTCGTGGCGTGCGGACGACCGTGGCTACTACACTGGCGTGGGGTACACACCCACAGAACTTGGTCACTTATTCGGGGCGCGCGTGTGCCCAGCATCCTGCAATTGTGACATACAATACATGACACAGACAGACAGACAGAGAGAGACAGAGAGCAGACAGAGAGAGAGACAGAGAGAGCGGAGTTGGCCACATTTTTGGGGCAAGTTCCTGAGATCGTCGTGTTTTTTGTTGGTCTTGCGCGCGCGAATGTCCACTTTACTTTTTTTTTGCAAGGGATGTTGAAATTTGATTATGTAAGAACAAGAAAAAGTAGCTCGCGCGAGCTTATGTAACATAAATGTTGAAAAACCATTGGTTTTGTGGGAGTCGGACAGCGCGCGCGGGATGAAATTTGGACATTTTTTTTTGAAAAACCATTGGCTTTTTGATGTTTTTATGTTGAAATCGTTACGAAACCTAAGGTTCTGGAAGGATTTCGTCTTGCGCGCGCGAATGTCCACTTTACCTTATTTTTTGCAAGGGATTATTGAAATTTGATTATGTTAGAACAAGAAAAAGTAGCTCGCGCGAGCTCATGTAACATAAATGTTGAAAAACCATTGGTTTTGTGGGATTCGGACAGCGCGCGCGGAAGGACATTTTGACAATTTTTTCTTAAAAAACCATTGGGTTTTTGATGTTTTTATGTTAAAATCGTTACGAAACCTAAGGTTTTGGAAGGATTTCGTCTTGCGCGCACGAATGTCCACTTTACCTTATTTTTTGCAAGGGATTCTTGCAATTTGATCAAGTAAGAACAAGAATTTTCATTTTCTATTGTTTTTTGCAAGGGAAAACGAGCGTCAACAAAAAACCGGATCCGGTACCAATCGTTTTGCCTGAGACTTCCTCACGAAAATGATGAAAATGTGGCTGCGGCCTAGGCGCGGCGGGGGGGTCGCGCACCAGGGGTCCCAACAATAATTATTCTTAAGAAGAAATAATGTTCAACAACAACAACAACAACAACAATCATTTTACCCGAACGCTCAGTGTTCTCACCAGTGCCAGGGTTTTCATGCGACGCGAGACAATACCCCCACTTCGTGGGGGGGCAGTTCAAGCTCTACCAAATATCCAAACGACTCTTCGTGACCACCCAAACCCAGCTTCCCGCCCTATGACGTTGGGACACTTCACTTCGTGGCGTGCGGACGACCGTGGCTACTACACTGGCGTGGGGTACACACCCACAGAACTTGGTCACTTATTCGGGGCGCGCGTGTGCCCAGCATCCTGCAATTGTGACATACAATACATGACACAGACAGACAGAGAGAGAGACAGAGAGCAGACAGAGAGAGAGACAGAGAGAGCGGAGTTGGTCACATTTTTGGGGCAAGTTCCTGAGATCGTAGTGTTTTTTGTTGGTCTTGCGCGCGCGAATGTCCACTTTACATTTTTTTTGCAAGGGATTATTCAAATTTGATTATGTTAGAACAAGAAAAAGTAGCTCGCGCGAGCTCATGTAACACAAATGTTGAAAAACCATTGATTTTGTGGGAGTCGGACAGCGCGCGCAGGATGAAATTTGGACATTTGTTTTGAAAAAAACCATTGGGTTTTTGATGTTTTTATGTTGAAATCGCTACGAAACCTAAGGTTCTGGAAGGATTTCGTCTTGCGCGCGCGAATGTCCACTTTACCTTATTTTTTGCAAGGGATTATTGAAATTTGATTATGTTAGAACAAGAAAAAATAGCTCGCGCGAGCTCATGTAACGTAAATGTTGAAAAACCATTGGTTTTGTGGGATTCGGACAGCGCGCGCGGAAGGACATTTTGACCGTTTTTTCTTAAAAAAACCATTGGGTTTTTGATGTTTTTATGTTAAAAGCGTTGGGAAACCTAAGGTTTTGGAAGGATTTCGTCTTGCGCGCGCGAATGTCCACTTTACCTTATTTTTTGCAAGGGATTCTTGCAATTTGATCAAGTAAGAACAAGAATTTTCATTTTCTAGTGTTTTTTGCAAGGGAAAACGAGCGTCAACAAAAAACCGGATCCGGAGCTCATCCACTTTTCTGAAGCTTTCGCGAAAAAATGATGAAAATGTAGCTGCGGCCTAGGCGCGGCGCAGAGGTCGCGCACCAGGGGTCCCAACAATAATAATTCTTTAGAAGGAATAATGTTCAACAACAACAACAACAACAACAACAACAACAACAACAACAACAACAACAACAATTACTAGCACGTGGGGACACTCCGTTCTCACCAGTGCCAGGGTTTTCATAGGAGGCGGGCAATACCCCCACTTTGTGGGGGGGCCGGTTCAAGCTCTACCAAATTTCCAAACGACTCTTCGCCACCACCCACACCCAGCTTCCCGCCCTATGACGTTCGGACACTTCACTTCGTGGCATGCGGACGACCGTGGCTACTATTCAGGGCCCCGCGGCCGACGACGACGGCGTGCGCGCGCGAAGAAAAAACGAATGTGTCCCGCATGGTATTATTTGACAGGGATGATGGCCCTGGCAGGTGCGCAACCGTTGTCGCAGAAGTTCGAAAAAGTTGCTCGCAAAAGCCCGTTTGACAGAAATGTTTAAAAAGTGTTGGGTTTCCTACGAATCCGCAAGAGCGCGCGGGATGAGATTTTGACAGTTTTTTGTTGAAAAACCATTGGTTTTTTGATGTTTTTATGTTAAAATCGCTGCGAACACTAAGGTTTTGGAAGGATTTCGTCTTGCGCGCGCGAATGTCCACTTTACCTTATTTTTTGCAAGGGATTCTTGAAATTTGATTATATTAGAACAAGAAATGTCATTTTCTATTGTTTTTTTGCAAGGGAAAGCGGATTACAACAAAACAACCGGATCCTGTACACACCCTCTTTTCTGAGGCTTCCTCACGAAAATGATGAAAATGTAGCTGCGGCCTAGGCGGCGCAGGGGGGGCGCGCACCAGGGGGCCCAACAATAATTATTCTTTAGAATAAATAATGTTCAACAGCAACAACAACAACAACAACAACAACAACAACAACAACAACAACAATGACAACAACAATGACAACAACAACAACGACGACAACAACAATAACAACAACAATGACAACAACAGTAACAACAACAATAACGACGACAAAAACAACCACAACACCAACAACAACAACAACAGCAACAACAACAACAACAGCCAACAACAACACCAACAACAATCATTATACCCTCATGCGCAATGTTTCCGCACGGAGCATGCGACCATCATGCTCACCGTCCCCATCATGGGGGATTTCTGTTCTACAGCGGGGTCCGTTATTCCCATTCCCAGATCTTCCGCCTAATGAGGTCTTGCAAACACCTCCTCCGAAGAATTTCAACACATCCCGCCTCGAGAACGCATGCCCGCGCCTTGCTGCGCCGACGCGAGTCCGCCAGTGGAGCCTCGACCAAGGGTAAAGCACAACGAAGCATCGAACGACGGGATTGCCTTTGTGGGGATGGGGGCTGTCGGCGGCGAGGCAAGGGCCTGGCCCTGAATAGAAAGGGAGGTCTCGAGCAGGGCCGCCGTTGTTGCTGGGGGCGGCGCCAATGCTGAAGAGAGTAGGGCGCTAGTCCAGCGTAAAACAAACCGAAGTCTCGAGCGGGAAAGCTGGTTTTGGCTACCCTCGAAATCCTCCCCGCCCGTACTCGCCACGACGGTGTCCACGAAGTCCGGCCCGATTTGCCCGCTGCTCATCACTCATCGTGTTGGCGCTCGAGCTGCCCTCGATGACGAGCTCGAGGAATAGAGCGGCGGAGACTGTCACCGTGGCGCGCGACAGGTCCGGGGCGGGCACCCCGCTCGCCGCGGCGGCGCAGGCGAAGGAAGGCGTCGGCAGGACCCGCAGGCCGGAGCCCCTCCTCCGCTACCAGTGGAGGAGGAAGGCATCGGCAGGGTCCGGAGGCCGGAGTCCCCCCCTCCGCTGCCAACCAGCCGTGCGCAGCGCGCTGGGCCCATGAGATGGTGCCGCCAGGCGGCCCGGCCAGGGGATCACGTTCGGGTCGCGGGTGGGCCAGCTCACGTGTCACAGGCACGGTGGGATCTGAGGGAAACCGAAGTGGCGGCGGCAAAGAAGAGATCTTCCCCGCAGCCACCTTCTCACCCGGAGGGTGGTCGTAAAGTTACGAATTTCCTATCGCTCATTGTTCTTCCCTAGGCTGTTTGGGCCACGCCTCAGAGAAGAGATTTAGCAAAGCCGAGTCCACGTTCTTGACGCGTGAGAGGAAGCACGGAGCGAGGTGTGATGGGCTCTGAGACTGCAAGAAGATGTCCGGCATCGTTCTAAGAGAAGAGGGAGGAAGGAGGGGGGGAGGAGACATGGAGGAGGAAGAGGACTGCGCGTTTGTGAACTGCCGCTGTTGTACATCGGCCCCCGCGCTCGAGCGAGCAGGGCACGCACCCTCGCGCGACGCCGTGCTGGCACTCCGGGGCTGGAGGCATGAGGAGCAGGGGGAAGCGGATGAGGACGGGAAGGAGTGGGAGGGGGGAGGGAGAGAGGGGGGCTGAACCCAAACGGTGTTGTTCGTTTTCGTGTTGTTTTCCTTTTCCCTCGCTTTTGTCTCGAACCCGCCTTTACCGCAAAACGAAGTCGAAACGAAAACGGCCCACGAGATCACCAAAAACACCGTTCAGGTTCAGCCCTGGGAGAGAGAGGGAGGGGGGGCGCCTGGATTCCCGCGCCGGACAATCTCCCCAAGCAGGTTGCCGTTGGGGCAGTATTCCATCACGAGCGCCCAGCAGTCGGTGGCTTGGAAAGCGTAGTGGAGCGCCACGACGAACGGATGCACAGTGGTCTTCAGGATAAACTGTTCGCTGTGCGCCTCTGGACGGGGTGGACAAAAAAGGAGAAGTAAGGCGCGGGGTGGGGGGGGCGAATCAACTTCACGTGTGCAACAATGCGTGCATCGAGACAGGTATCCGGCAGCGGAGCCGAAACAGGCTTCATGCAACACTCCGCCCCCCTTCTTTCTTGGTCCCCACATCTCGTCGCCAAGGTCGATCGAAGTTTGTCCAAGCCATCCCTGTGGTGTTGGATCCTCGTTTTGAGGAGACAGCGCCCCGCGTCCTCCTCTCCTCCTCTCTTCCCATCCTCTCCTCATCTCCTCCTCCCTCCTCCCCGTCCCTGTCCCTGTCTCTGCCCTCCACATGTCTCTGCTTCGGCACACCCCTCACACGAATCCGTGGTCCCATAGGGAGCTCCACCGAAGGCCGTGAGGGTTCGCATGCGGTTCCAACCTCATTTCGGCACACCCCCCACACGTTCTGTGCCCCCATGGGAAGCTCCGCCGAAGGCCACAGTAACAAGGTTCGCATGGGGTTCCACCTTCATTCCGGCGCACCCATCAACCGTTTCGTGGCCCAATCGGGAGCATCACCGAAGGCCGCAGAGGCAGAGTTCGCATGCAGTTACGCCCAAAATTCGGCGCACCCCTCAAACGTTTCGGGCCCCCATCGGGAGCTCCACCGAAGGCCGCAGTGGCAGGATTCGCATGCGGTTCCACCCCCGTTTCGGCACGCCGCAGTGGCAAGTTTCGCATGGAGTTCTACTACTCCCAGTTCGGCGCACCCCGTACACGCTTCGTGGTCCCATAGGGAGCTCCACAAGAGGCCCCAGTGGCAGGGTTCGCATGCGGTTCCACCACCAATTTCGGCACACCCCTCACACGTTTCGCACCCCCATGGGGAGCTTCACCGAACAATGGCAAGGTTCGCATGCGCTTCCAACCGCCCTCCCCTTTGCGGCACGTCCCTCACATGTTTCGTGCCCCCTAGGAAGCTCCACTGAAGGCCGCAGTGGCAGGGCTCGCATGCCTTGCACTCCACATGTCGGCACCCGCATCAAACGTTGCGTGGCCGAATAGGAACTCCACCGAAGGCCGCAGAGGCAAGTATCGCATGCGGTTCCACCCCCAATTTCGGCTCACCCGTCACACGCTTCGTGGCCCAATAGGGAGCTCCACCGAAGGCCCCAGTGGCAGGTTTCGCATGCGGTGCCACCCACAATTCGGTACAACCCCCACACGTTTCGTGCCCCTAGGGAGCTTCGCCGAGTACGATACTCACAACTGCGATACCCACAGCTTCACATGCTTGTGTTCTTCGCCAAGATCACTTAACTTGTTCGGGGCCTCCAGAAGCGTACTCTCGACGTTGTTAGCTCTCTTTGGTGCCGTTGGAAGCTTCTGGAGACTCCAGGGGTACCCCCACAGTGCGGGGCAACGAACGATAGCGGGAGACCAGCTCAGGGGGGGGGAGCATTGACCTGGAATCGGCGATATACCGTCGATAGGTCGGTGATTCAGCCCTCGACCGCGAATCCGCACGTTCCCGAGCGGGATGAACCAGGGCTGAACCCAAACGGTGTTTTTCGCTTTCGTTTTGTCTTCGTCTTCCCTCGCGTTTGCCTCGAACCCGCCTTTGCCGCAAAACGAAGTCGAAGCGAAAACGGCCCACGAAGTCGCCCAAAACACCGTTCAGGTCCAGCCCTGGAGTGAAGCATCGGGCCCCTATCGGCGATCAACGGGCGATCGAGGGTCGACGCGTCCCCTCCTGAGCCTCGCTCTCCCGCCCCAGCGCCGCCCCCGAAGGAGAGGTGCGGCAGCGGCCGTCTCTCGACGCGCGGGCCTTGCTCACGATCTTCTGGGCCCGGAACTTCGCCTTGTCCAGGATCTTCAGGGCAAAGAACTCTCCCGTGTCGACCTTCCTCACCAAGTACACCTCGCGCGGTCACCCGCAAGCCATACGCCGTCGGGCGCGTGGGCGGGAACACAGTTTCAAGCAGCGACGCGAAAC